GCTCAGTACCGTGCTTTGTGGCATTCCTTGGGGAGGCCTGTGTTCAGCAGCACCTTGTGAAGGGCCACCTTGTGAATGAATGAAAATTGTCCTGGTATTTTCCCTTAAATGTCATTAGTAAAAAATGAGATTATTGTTTCGCTATTATAAGGCCCTTTTTGCGACGTACAAAAATTATAATTCGAATCAAGTGGGCTTCTTGCGTTGGAGGTGGCGAAAATCTTAAGCTGAGTCAGCGGCGGGTTTCATATTAGACGCCAAGAGGTATCCGAGTAAATATTAGCGGTGAATTAATTTGAAAAGATAAGATCTAAAATCGGTCGAGTTATAATATAATATCACAGCTATAACTTAATATTTGAGCGAGTTGAACATGATGATATTCTCAATTCAGTCCGGTGTAACGATTTCTTAAATTAACGTTACATCGAGTTACTTAGTCGATTTGATTTTTCTGATTGTTTGTCAAAGTTTGTGAAAGAGAATTCTTTCTACAATACTCTGTATAACATGTGGGATGCAGTTATGTCATGTCATCATCATCATCATTACAGCCCTTCACAAGTCTACTGCTTAAAATAGGCCTCCCCCAGTTTTGTCAATTAGTTACAAAATAATCAATTTATATTAATTCCCCGAAATAAAATTACCACCAATTTATACTTCACAGGTCTTCCATCTCACGTTTTAAAAATGCGCCAGAATTAACTTCAAATTGCTTCAAATACGTAAATAGTTTCACTGGAGCCAAGGGTGGCATGCATTTGCTTATTTGCTCAAAGTTTGAACAGATATTTGCACTTTGAAATCCAGTATCGGTTTCTCAACACACAACAAAGCAAACAAAGTTCAACGTTTGTGCGGCCTGCTAAAATTATCGCAAAGTTTAGTAACGTGCGTACGGCTGATCGGAGCAGTTGTGTGTCAACAATTTGCTGGACCAACAAAATAACGATACTGGTAATTAAATAAAACAAAATATATATGTATATGTAACTAGCGATCCGTATCCGCTTCACAAAGGTGATTACTGGATCTCGATAACAGCGCCATTTAAGAATCTAAGCCATCCAATTAAAACACACAAAAAATTTCTTCAAAATCAGTCGAGCCAATTTCGAGTTTTAGCGAGACTAGCTTACAGCAATTGACTTTTATATAATTACTAGCTTTTGCCCACGACTTCGTCCACGTAGATATTATATTTTAAATCATAGGTGATCTATCAATAATCGCAAACTCAATTAACAAATTCCATCACTCTCTTTAGAGATGATTTCTGTTATCAAAGCTGTCCTATTTCCTTTACCGGGACTTAAACTATCTGGATACCAAATTTTATCTAAATCGGTTCAGCGATTTAAGCGTGAAGAGCTACCCCACCTCGCCCGCAGTACGCCCAACCACCCTGCGCGCGCTGGAATGCTCAATTTTATATCGTCATTACTTTTAAAATATTTGACCAAATTAAGTAGTTTAAAAAACAAAGATTATCTACTTTAAATAGCAGAAGCGATTAAAGTATTTATATTGATAAAATTAATTTGTTAGTGCTAAATATACATTGGAAATAAAATATAAAATTTCATTGTATTTATGGTTTATTATTTTAGTAATAATTGCTTACACATAAAAGATAGATATAATACTGTACCGGATTTTTTTGAACTATTTAGGAGAAACGATTCCACCATACATTTTATTTGTGTATCTCTTACAGTTTCTGCACCGCACACCAAAATAGCAGACTTTTTTCCGGATTACTTAACACTAATCGTTATATTTTGACCAATTTACACAATATATTTATTAATTATAACATATAACCTATATGTTTTTCTGATGTTTGAGTTATATTATCGTAAAGTTTCATTAAAATACATTTAGTAGTTTTTGCGGGAAAGAATAACAAACTTCCAGACATCCTCGCAAACTTTCAATAAGCAAATCTTTCAATTTAATATTAGTGGTATAAAGATTTATTACAATTGAAGGTCAGTTTCAGAATTGATAACCGTTGGAGTAGACGTGTCATAAAGTGGAGACCGTGCTTTAGTAAACACAGTGTGGGTCGCTCCCTGGCTAGATGGAGCAACAATTAACGCAAATAAGTCCGTAGCAACTGCATGCACGATGCCTAAAAAGGGGCTAAGTGGCGCGCCTTGGTAGAAGCCTATGTACAGCTTTATATTTTACGCGAACACTACATATTTGAAAGAAACTAGGTTTTATGGATTTTATCGCGTTTAATTAACTTATATATTATATTATTTATATAGCACACGAAAGTCGCAAGTATAAAACGAATATAAGACTTCCGATTTTACCCTGTTTATTTACTTATTTTAGTTCTCTAAACGTTGGGAATCTAAAAACCTAGTCGAAAAAACTAGTTTTTCTCTAAGGTACTCATTACAATTTAACTTAAAATTCGCCCATACGTCTCTTTTTTGCAAAATAAATATAACTTCGATATCAGATGCATTACCTCATCGCAAAATTCCATAAAACATCACGCTATGAAAGTAGCAAGAACGGGTCGGCTCAAAAAGGCAAGGACAACGCTCTCGCAGAATACCGATGTAAAATAGCAACTTTACTCTAACTCGGCATTCCATCTTGGTCCTCACGGGTGACAACGTATCTGTATTTTGATTCGTAAATGAAGATACTTGTAGATGTAGATGTCTATGAGCCACAGCAACCAATTACCATCAGGTGGACGGTGTACTCGTTTGCAACCCTTATCCTATAAAAAAAACTAAAATAAACTAATCTAGCTGTCTCAACATTGGTAAGATTTTATAATCTTTCTTAAGGCATATCCTGCAGAAGTGAGTCTGCTTGTTAATTTAGATATATGAGGTCCTCAATGAAGCTTGACGTCAATAGTAATATCTACAAGACTATTTAAGAGCGCATTGGATATTTGAATTTTTGATATTAGGTATTTTAAATTTATTGGCGTTTAAAAGCAAATTGTTGGCGTTAAATCAATGTATTAATTTCGATAGAGCCTTATTTACATTGTCAAAATTAATTGACTGTCGTTTGAGTTTCAAAATTAAAGAGATATTATCAGCAATTGATGTAGTATATATCATGATTGTCCCTTACAAGATAAAGTAAGTCATTAATATAGACTAAGAACAGGAATGGGCCAAGAATCGAGCACTGAGGAACGTCCATTGATACTATTGATCCGGAGGAACCTTTACCATTGATAACGACTTTTTTGAGTTTTGTTATTTAAATATGAAATAATAAATCTAAGCGCAATGTTTCTGACACCGTAATGTTGTAGTTTCCAGAAGCCTGTGCCCTATCAGTGAGACGTGTAAGGGCTGCAACTTTTTTTCATATACTTCAAACAAAATTCATTGCTGAAGATAGGCTTCCCCCATTAATTGCCTCATAAGGGAGATTATAGCCCTACCTATATATATATATATATATATATATATATATATATATATATATATATATATATATATATATATATATATATATATCTTTTGATGGACATATTTTTTTATAGCAGAAGGGGCAGCTACGGCTTACCTGATGGTAAGTGACTACCACCGTCCATGAACATTTGCAACAACAGGGGAATTGCTTGTTGCCGGCCTTTTAAAAATGAGTAGGCTCTTTCCTTGGAGGTCCCTAAGTCGTATCGATCCGGAAAAATCGCCGGTGGTAAACTGTTACACAGATAGATCGTACGAGCAAGAAAACTCCTAGTAATCCTTTGCTATAGTTACCACGAATAGCAGGCAAGTTGTCAACTACAGTATTTTATTTTCTACTTCAGTCAGTCATTCAGCGGTCAGCCGCTACAGAGTTCACCTGAGGATGCGTCGTGTAGAGCCCAAACAGGTGTCGTATTATCGACAGTGGTGTGTCTTTCTTAGTGTAGTGGTTTTTGGAGTAATGGTACTGGGATAAGTGGTAACGGGGGATAGTGCACGAAACTGCGGGAGATGCTCTTTAACCTAGGTAAGACGCATCATATTGTACTACGCGGATCTTAGTAAGTAAATTTCTGATATCTTTAATCATTTCATTTTTATATAGTATTAGAAATTCACTGCCTTCTATCTCCTAGGTTATTTCTCTAATTCGCCTCTTACGACAACCAAGGAACCATGTAGTGGTGGTATAAGTTTGTCCACTATCTCATATCGTATTGTGGGAGACAGAGGGTATCAACTCTGAACAAATTTTGAAATTCCAAATCCAAAAGTACAGGCTAATGATGGGGCAACATGTGAGAGTATCGGTTTTACGTTAACTAAACCTGCTTTAGGTTTTGGTGTTGTAGTTTTTTGGTGACTACGAGCAAGCCTCTAAAGTTACGATGTTTTTTTCTGAAAAGTTTCTTATCTTATTTTCATAACTCTGAAGTGAACAATAAACTAAAACAACGAACTTACAGCACACCTGATGTTAAGTAGCTACTGCAGGCCATGTACACCTTTTTTTTGTAGAATTAGGGTGTCAAACGAACACACAGTCCACCTGATGGTAAGTAGTTGCTGTGGCCCATAAACATCTACATCTATCCTCGATTACGAATCAAAATGCAGATGCGTTGTCACCCGTGAGGACTAAGATGGAATGCCTCATTTCCAGTAAAAAGGGTCTCCGGTTCTCTACACTCACCATAAGAAACATAGCAGCATTAAGCTGCTATTTTACGCTGGTATTCTGTGAGACCGTGGTCCTTCCCCGGTCGAGCAGACCCATTCGTACTACATCTATACCATTAATATAACTGCAGCATGGCTCTACCACGTAAAAAACCTACAACCAAGTTCAAACATAAAAGGTTACAGATGTGTTGTCACCTCAATGGACTAAGATCGAATGCTTTACGCTAATGCTTGCTCCCTGTACCCTTCTCATCCAAGTAGTACATGCACGGTTGTGTTCACATATAGAACTGATAAGGGAAGGTTGTTAGAGACAATAAAACTAAGCTTTCATTAGAGGTACGAATTTTAATTTATTTTTTTGTCTATCCATTCTGTATATCTTGAAACGTCAGTGAAAACTACATATTGAGTTGGATCACAAAGTGGCACATCCCTTCTGGAGACGGTTAGTGACACTATACCCTTAAGGTACCAAGCACCTGGAGCGTTTGGACGCGTGTCGTGTGAAATGTCGGGCACAAAAACAAAAAAGCCACCACCACTATCGCCATTGCAGGCTGATGTCCCTGAAAATGTTTACATATGTAGGTTTAGGTAATTAAGTTCAGAAAATTAATCAAAAATTTCAACTCCACGAATTGAATGTAAGAAAAGTTATGTTAGGTTGTTCCGCCACAGTTCGCTGAACGATGTCATCCGAAGGGCTATTATTTCTACTAATGTTTCCTCAGTATAAGAGCCTTCTGAAATATTTAGAGACGATGGCATAAGGTTTGACAGTATGACTTTGGTCTCTTGGGAGAGATTCAAGGCATGTGACATAGAGAGACGTAGATACTTTGGCAACATGTCATCTTAGGGTACCTCGATTAGGGCCGCGCCGGCATTTAAGGCGGTTGAACTGAGTAAATAGCGCATATATGATGCTTGAGAGATACATATTTATGCCATTTGCTGTAGAGCTTTAACTTTTTAAATGTCAATCCATGGGTTCCACGTGCAGTATAGTTCCTTAAGTAACTAAATCCATAGCTTGTCGTCAGGACTGATGACTGTATCAAAGTCTAGGTATAGCCATTCAGCAAGAAAACGGCACCTACACAGACTTGGCACTATATTAAGATCAGAGTGACTTTTGGATAATTTTAGTTTTTTATATCATGTACATATTTCTCTCATACAGATTTCTTGGAAATGACTACACGAAACCTTAGTAAGTAAAATAACTTACCATTTTTCAAACCTGCACAAAATTTGTTTTCGGTCAAAATATTTGTGTAGAATAACGGATTGCTTTTGTAACAAGCGTTCTCAGATATGATTGGCATAGTTGCTTGTCGGAGCTCAGGCGATAGATCGTCAGATTGGTCGAATCCCCAACCTACTACCTACAAATAATAGTAACACATTTTTATGCCCTAATACTCAAACGTGCTGTTAAGTCTCGTGCCGTCTCTATCACTTTAAGTCAAAGTGACCGTGACACCACGACACGTAATGACATCTTAAAAGTGAGTAGCGTTTGAGTATTTGACCATTCATTTGAATTAATTAGTGCGGATTAGAATAGAATAGAATATTTTTTATTCAATATACATTACATGTGTAATTCTTATTGAAAGTCATTTTTTACTTTACCATTGGTTCGAAAAAAAACCCTCTCTCCTGGGAAGAACCAGCAAGAAACTATTTTTTTTAAATAAAAATTTACAATATAAATGATTACGAACTATTTACAAAATTTATTTAAGAAACTGCTTGGAAGCGATCACCTCATTTCCAGGGGTTATTATCAACCATGTATTCATTTATACTATAATAACCCTTTTTAGACAGTTTCAGCTTAATAAAACATTTAAACTTGGTAATAGAGAGAACCTGTACACTTTCCGGGACCTTGTTGTAATAGCGTATACATTGCCCCAAGAATGAATTACTGACTCTGTGGAGTCGAGAAACTGGTATCACTAGCTTGTGTTTGTTTCTAGTGTTTACAGAATGTATATCACTTCTTTTACTAAAACTATCTTTGTTTTTGTGAACATACATTAAATTTTCGTAAATATACTGAGAGGCCAAAGTTAATATATTAATTTCTTTAAATTTATCTCTAAGAGACTCTCTCGGTTTTAGATTTTTTTTTTTTATTATATGAGAGGGGGCAAACGAGCATGCGGCTCACCTGATGGTAAGTGACTACCGCCGCCCATGAACAACCGCAACACCAGGGGAATTGCAGATGCGTTGCCGGCCTTTTAAAAAGGAGTAGGCTCTTTTCTTGAAGGTCCCTAAGTCGTATCGGTCCGGAAAAATCGCTGGTGGTAAACTATTCCACAAGGAAGTTGTGCGAGGAAGAAAACATCTTCTAAATCGCTCAGTGGTGGACCGCCAATCATCCAGATGGTGTGGATGGTATCGGGAGTTCTGCCGCGATGTGCGTTCGTGAAATTTGGCGGCTGGGATTAATCCGAACAATTCCTCAGAGCACTCCCCATGGTAAATGCGAAAGAAAATGCTAAGAGATGCAACATCTCTTCGCAGTGCCAATGAGTCGAGCCGATCGGAAAGGACTCGGTGGTCGACGATTCAAGCCGCTCTGCGCTGGATGCGGTCAAGTGGAAGAAGCTGGCACTGGGGAGCCCCAGCCCAGAGATGGGAACAGTATTCCATGTGAGGCCGAACCTGCGCCTTGTAAAGTTGCAGGCGTTGAGCCGGCATGAAATACTGTCCCACTCTGCTGAGCACGCCAAGCTTTTTAGAGGCCAATTTGGCCTTCTCTTCCAAGTGACCACGAAACTGCACGCTACTCGATATGTCGACGCCGAGGATTCCGATACTGGCTGAGGCAACAAGGGGAGTACCTTGAAACTGAGGAGATACGACAAAGGGGTTCTTTTTAGCGGTAAACGCGCAAACTTGTGTCTTCTGAGGATTAAACTGGACTAGATTTAGTCGCCCCCAATCTGAGACTTTGTCCAGCAAAGACTCGACTTCAGACACAAGTTTGTTCCGGTACTCGGTGACGTTTTCCCGAGAAATATTGGCACGGCCGGTGTATAGAGCATCACCAGTGCTGTCATCTGCATAGCAATGAATGCTACCAGCTTGCAACATATCATTGATATGCAGAAGAAACAGCGTTGGTGATAGCACGCAGCCTTGTGGAACACCAGCGTTAATAGGCTTGTAGTCGGAGCATGCACCGTCTACAACGACCTTGATGCTCCGATCTGCAAGAAAGCTGGTGATCCAATTGCATAATTTCTCGGGAAGCCCATAGGAAGGGAGCTTCGAAAGAAGCGCTTTGTGCCAAACCCGATCGAAGGCCTTCGCAATGTCCAAACTAACGGCCAATGCCTCCCCCTTGGACTCTACTGCCAACGCCCATCTATGAGTTAAGTAGACCAGAAGATCACCAGCTGATCGACCCCGACGAAAACCGTACTGGCGGTCACTAATCAGCTGGTGGTGGATCCTCAAGGTACCGCATGAGGTGGCAGTTAATAATGGATTCCATTATTTTGGAGAACAAGGAGGTGATCGCGATAGGCCTATAGTTGGATGGGTCTGAGCGGTCGCCTTTTTTAGGGATCGGGTGGACAAAAGCTGTCTTCCATGATTTCGGGACTACGCCTAGGGAGTAAGAGTACCGGAAAAGACGCGTTAGAACCGGTGCCAACTCCGGAGCACACGTCCTCAGCACAATTGGGGGGATTCCGTCAGGCCCACTCGACTTGTGGATGTCAAGGGAGAGGAGTGCTCTGCGAACCGAGCGCTGTGAGAATCGCACATCCGGCATGGAGCACTCACACCGCGGGATGGTCGGCGGTGTGTTCCCCCCGTCATCAACAGTCGAGTTGGACGCAAAAAGGGAGCCTAAAAGGTCGGCCTTCTCTTTTGCGTCGTGGGCCAGTAAGTCGTCCTCCCTGTGCAGAGATGGTAGTGATGGCTTACAGAAATTCCCTTGGACAGCCTTGGCGAGAGACCAGAATGCACGGGTTCCCGAAGGAAGGCGAACTAGTTTCTCGCCAATTCTGCCTATGTGCTCTGACTTTGCCTTGGCAATAACTCTTTTGAAGGACCTGGAGGCGAAGTTATACTTCTTTTTGAGTTTGCTGGTGTTTACATCCCGAGTCACCGAAGCCGCAGCCCAGGCTTGATAACACTCCTGCTTACTGCGTAATGCAGTCTTACAGGAGCGACCAAACCAAGGCTGAGATCTGCCTCCGATGGGTACCACAGATGATGGAATAAATAGTTCCATTCCCTGTAGCACTACATCAGTGACAGAGTCAGCAACAGCGCTGGGATCATCCGGCGAGAAGCAAACCCGGCCCCATGGGTAGGAAGCAAAGAAAGACCGCATTCCGTCCCAATCCGCCGACCTGTAATGCCAAACACGGCGGCAACCTGCAGAACGCAACCGCGAGGGGAGCGTGAGTGGCACCACACTCCGGATCAGACAATGGTCCGAAGAGCCAAGAGGGGCATCGACGGAAACCTGATATCCGTCCGGATGAGAGGTCAGCAGAAGGTCCAACAGGGAAGGTGTATGATCCTCAACATCTGGAATCCGCGTAGGCGATGTAACCAGTTGTGTCAGACCATATGCCAAGGCAAAGTCATAAACAGATCTCCCCGCATGATCGGTTAAACGTGAACCGAGCCATTCGGCGTGGTGGGCGTTAAAATCGCCAAGGATCACGATCTCTGCGGATGGGACCCGTTGTAGCAAGGAATCTGTAGCCATTTGGACGTGGTCGATGAGTCGGTCTGTTTCGGCATTACCGCTATGGGACCTATAGAGGCACACGTAGACGCGCGGATGGTCGTCGCTGTCTACGCGTAGCCAAAGGATGGACAGGTCCGAACCTTCAAGACTGCCGAGGCGTCGAGAACAGATGTCCTCTCTGACATACACGCAAACTCCAGCCCGAGGCACAAAGGAGTGCTCCAATTTGTACCCCGGGTAGGAGAGATACGAAGTATCAGCCGGAGAGGACACCTGCGTCTCGGTCAGAAAGAGCAAGGCCGGCTTCGCCGTCTCAAGATGGTAGTGGACGGCGTTTAGGTTCGAGTGAAGTCCCCTGATGTTGCAGAAATTCACGGATAGCGTGGCAGGGGTCGCCTTGGTCTTGTTGCTCAGTTTGCCCCGAGCAGTTATTGTGTTGAGCGGAATTTTGCACCCCCCAGAATACGCGGGGCAGCCTGAGCACCCACGCTCAGGAGTGGAATAGCATGGTCGTGGATGCTCAGCGAGGGATTTTCCAGGGGTACTGGTACCCTCCTGGGGTAATTTTTGACGTAATTCCGCTACCATGTTGAAGGGGGGGGGGGGAATTGGGCATCCGGTCACCTGCACTCACCAGACGAAACGCGGAAGCAGAGCTTCCACTTCACGCCGGTATTCTGTGAGGTCGTGGTACTAACCCGGCTCGAGCCGGCCCATATGTGCAACAGCAAAAGCTGCTGCAAGGCTCTACCACCGTTAATAGTTGTAAATAGCTCTAATGACCCTCTTCTGTAAAACAAAAATAGTTTCTGAATCAGCCGCATTTCACCATATCAAAATCCCATAAGACATTAATTATGCTATGAAAATAACTAAAATAAACTAATCTAGCTGTCTCGACACTAGTGAGACCTCTAATATTTTTTACAGCATAGGCTGCAGAACTTAGTCTGCTTGCTAATTTGGATATATGGGGAACCCACTGGAGCTTTGCGTCAAGAGTGATGCCAAGAAAAACAGTGGATACAACAGGGCTCAATTCCTCCCCATTTAAAAACACATTGGTATTCAGATTTTGAACATTCGTTGTTGTAAATTTAACACAATTAGTTTTATTTCCGTTCAAATGCAGATTATTAACGTTAAACCAATGCACTAATTTTGATATAGCATTATTCACTTCGTCACATTTAAATGATTGACGTTTAAGTTTAAAAATCAAGGAAGTATCATCAGATAATACTATATCATGACTATCCCCTACAAGGTGAGGTAAGTCATTAATATACACCAGAAACAGGAATGGGCCGAGAATCGAGCCCTGAGGTACACCCATTAGTACAGGTGACCCGGAAGAACTTTTACCATTAATAATAACCTTCTGTTTTCTATTACTTAAATATGAAATAATAACTTTAAGCGCTGTGTTCTTGACACCATAGTACTGTAGCTTCCTGATTAATGTCTCATGGTGAACACATTCGAAGGCCTTGGAAAGGTCACAAAATATACCCAAAGCATCCTCTGAATTCTCCCATGCACAAAAAATATGTTTAATAAGCTCAACTCCAGCGTCAGTTGTCGCGCGACCCCTTGTAAAACTTGAATTGATTTTTATGTAGCAATTTATTAATATTAAAGAAACTTAACATCTGATCTAAAATAATTTTTTCAAAAATTTTACTTAATGTTGGTAGTACATAAATTGATCTAAAATTGGCGGGGTCTAATGTACTACCAGATTTAAATATAGGTATGACTTTACTATGTTTCATTAAATCAGGTAACACACCAGATTCGACGCTTATATTAAATATAGTGGCTAGATAAGGTGCGAATGTATCTATTATAGATAAAATAACTTTAACGGAAATCCCCCATAAGTCTGCTGTTTTCTTAACATCAATAGTTTTAGTATTTAACGATATCTTTTGGCAGTACCCTATGGAATTTAAAAGTATTTGAACAAGCCTTTACATTTTGTTTGAGCAATGATTCGGCGACAGTAGGAGAAGAATTTAATGATTTTGTTGTCAAAAAGGAACATCAGTAAAATGTTTCTCAAAAGCCATAGTAACTTCTTGATCAGATCGCGTTAAATTATTGTTAATATTCAATTGAAAATCCGAGTTGCCCGGTTTGACCTTGCCCGTTTCACTATTTATTATTCTCCAGGTCATTTTAATTTTGTCGGATGCAGTTTTAATTTTGTTGCTTAAATATAACACTACTATTATATGATCTTTCATCATAAAGCTCTTATAAACTTTGCCTACTTTTATAAATTCCTACTGTCGCCCATTCATTAAATGATTTGTGACTGTTAAAAGAGAAAGTTTTAGAAGTAAATATTCTACTAAATTCACAACTTATAATTTCAAATAATTTAGCATATAAATAATTAGCACTATTTTTATACGAAAGTGATTGAAGTCTTTTTATTATATTACTTCTAAACCTCTCCAAGCGATGTTCATTTATTGGAACAAACACAACTTTCTTATTTTTCTGTTTTTTGTGTATGTAAGGTAGTGATACTAACTGTCCACAGTGATCTGAACCAAAAAAAAAATCCAAAGTGATTCTCGCAAATATTTCCTTATTGATAATTTTGGGACTAATGATTGAAAATTTAAATTAATATTATTTTCCTTCAAAGAAGCTACCTACAATGATTTCATCATCGTAATTACAGTATAGGTTACAGCTGAATATGGGCTTCGCCTATGGATAACTCATGTTTGCCATAGTATCCACGCTTGGCATACAAGTTGGCAACCGCAGTTTCAGAGTAGTAAGTTCTACCACCTTCTTTCGCCTTGTACTGACGTCGTAGGAAAATCAACTGTTTCATACAAAAGAATATCGTAAGAGACGATCTAGTATGTGAATATTATATGCGATTCAAATGCTTAAAAGATCACACGACTTCCATAAAAGCTTTTAGAAAAATTTACTTCGCAAATATCCGCGTTATAAAATAAAATGATGTGTCTTACCTAGTATGAAGAGCACCTCCCCCCGCCCTCCCTCAATTTGGTGCACTATCCCCGTCACCACTAATCCCAGCTTCGCTTCTCCCAACACCACTACACTAGCGGTTAGACACCGTAGAGTCTATATCTAAGTAACTTAGCGGTTAGCCACCGTAGAGTCTATATCACCTGAGGATGCCTCGTGTAGAGGCGAAACACGTGTCGTATTGTCGTCAGTGGTGTGTCTTGCCTAGTGTAGTGGTGTTGGGAGTAGCGGTGCTGGGATTAGTGGTGCCGGGGATAGTGCACGCAATTGAAGGAGGGCGGGATGTGCTCTTCTTGCTAGGTAAGACACATCATTTTATTTTATAACGCGGATATTTGCGAAGTAAATTTTTTTAAAAGCTTTTATATAATGGATTTCCGCAAAGTAACGCCTGATTGTATTAATTACATACGACTTCCAGCAAATAGGCGTATAGCCATCTCGTTTATATCATAGGTATTACATCTAAACCGGAGAAAGATTAGTGTGAGGTGTGATAGGGACTTTAGTAATTCCTCGACATAACGAGCGAGGTCCATCTCTAGCACTGGAGGCTTTCATAATCTGATGATAATTTGATGAGAAACATTTAATTACTAATTTGAATAGGAACAATCGCGATTAAACGCAATGTGCGCTTACTATTCATATGTTGGGCGCTGGCAGAATAACTGCGTTGTAGGCCATTGCAACATTTATATTGACCTGGAGCCCATTCATTACTGCACTATGTTATTTAGGTTATTTCTGTGTGTGTGACTGCCTAGTTGGCCTAGTGATTGTAAAAATAATTTAAACTTGACATTTAATTGTAAGAATTATAACGATGAATTACATTTGATTGATATTAATAATTTAACTAAAAAGTTTTTGTCAAGAGATAGTTTGACTTATCAAAGAATAGCATAGGACTGAAAGTAAATACGTCTTACATCTAATCTTATTATTTATTTTTTAACACAGCCAAATTGGCATGGCTACCTTGACACCTGCTTCTATTGAGTAGCAAAATAATTTTGTAATGAATTTGGAATCAGTTCCAAGTAATTTAAATCTATACAAATAAATAAAACTGAAGTGTTTGTTTGTAATATCAAAATAACAGCTTTTTACTAAATGCATATGAGAGTATGTACGGTATTTATAACAAAATCACAATTTTTAAAATTTTTGTCTGTCCGTCTGTTTGTTCCGGATAATCTCCAAAACGGCTGGACCAATTTTGAAGCTACGTGTATTGCATGGTGTCGTGTAATTTGTATTGAGAATATTTTTACAGATATACTAATCAAGAAAATCATAATTCAATACTAAGTTCAAATCACTATGTATAACTGGTTTCATTACTATATATTCACAAAAAACAGGAAATTGAGAAAATTTAATTTGTTCCGATTCAAGCAAAAACCCTAGAGAGATTTAGAAGTAATATGGTAAAAAAACCTTCCGTAGCTTTTTTACAAGAACAATTCAGACTATTTATATGGAGTATTATTTACCCATATAAGTAAAGGATTTAATAAAACATTTACTTCTAAACATTCAGCAGTATCAGTCGCAAGACATTCAATAAATTTATAAGAGCAGACGTAGATTATACGAACCACAGAACACAATTACTCTCTACCGGGAGATATGAACTTTACTATGAAAGATCATATAATCTTTCCGATACTTTTAGAGAATTTCAACGTCAAAAATTATTCTAAAATGTTTAAAAGAGTCTGCTCCACAGTCAAATTTTTATACACAGCCACAGCAACAAAATTAAGACTGCTAAAAATAAAATTAAAATGACGTGGAGTATAATTAATAGTGAAACCGGTATAGACAAATCTCGTAACACAAACTATCAATTGAAAATTTATAATGAATTGACTAGATCAAATCAAGAAGTTGTAGCAGTGTTTGAGAAATATTTCACTGATATTCCTATTTTGACAAAAGGTCATTGAATACTTCCTCAACTGTCGCCGAGTCATTAAAAGTAAGTAAGAGTTCCTTAGAGAAAATTTTTAAGAAGTAAATATATTAACTTAGGCATCGCAATATATTTATGAAAATTGTAAAAACAAAGGTAGTTTTAGTAAAAACTTTAACAACAAAACCCCAGAAAATGTACAATATTTGTCAATAAACAAGTTTAAATGTTTTATTAAAGAAAAATTATACAAATAGGGTTATAATAATATCAAAGAATACATAAATGGAAATAAACCCTGAGAATGAGGTGATCGCCACCATGCTGAATCTATTGAAATTCATTTAAAAATTGTACGAACAAAATTATTGTAAAGTGAAATATATTTAAAAAAAGACCCGCTGGGTTTCTTGCTGGTTATTTTCAGGACAGATATTTTCCGAACCAGTAGTAAATAAAATATTATTTTCAATAATTATTATTATAATTATATAATAATAATCTAACCGGAATAAAAATTATTGACGATATGATCAGGTACCGGGTTCTAAGCCCGTGTTGAGACAAAAATCAGTTATTGAGTTTTCCAGTCAAGAAATTTTCAGTATCTGCCTGGAGTCAGAATGTTGCCGGTGTCTCACAGGCGTGCCTCGGAAAGGACGTAAAGCCGCTCTCCAGTCATGTTAGTTTACTGTACCATCAGACTATGAATGTGAGGGAATAGAGAGTGCACCTGTGCTTGCGCAAACACTTGGGCACTATAATCTTGTCCTGTGCCGATGTCTAGTCTCCGTTGAGGCTGGCCGTCGTGACTGAAAATCGATCTGGAGGACATTATTATTATTATTTATGTTGTAATTTTATTGATGGTGATGAATAAATGTTAATTATTATTATATAATAACGATAAAGAAAAGTTTGCTTATTTTAAGGTACCAGATATAAAACAACAATATGAATAGAGCATACCGTTCCAATGATTTCCTTCGTGGGTATTTTTTCTATTGCTTTTTCAGTCCACATACAAGCAGGTTGAACGTAATCGGTAAAGGTTACTTCAGTTCTTAATTTAAGTAACGCAATATCATTGTCCAATCGGATTTTGTAGTTAAAGTTCTCATGTACAATAACTTTAAATACCTGAAAAAATTACAAATTTATTTTTAATATAAGTCCTTGTGATGACCATAAGTTATGACCATTGCATAAAAATGAAGGTGAGAAACGAGCACACACCTCACAAGATGGTAATATATATATGACGTGGCCCTTAAACATCTTCATCTATTTTCTGTTAAAAATTAAAATGCAGATGTGTTGTCATCTGACGGTGAAGACGAACATCATCCCCACCATTGCATCAGATTTAATAGACCTCAAATCCTCGCAAAAGCACGCCGATTCCCACCAAGGATGATTAACGAGACTATTAAAATTAAAAAGAAAACCAAATTTCAATAGAAAATATGGCTACCATCTGCTTGGGATCCCATAATTTATAAAACTAAATCCAAATCCAAGCACATTACTGCAAAATTTCGAAATAACGTAAGCTCACCTAAAAAGAAGCAAGCTCGTTTCTTGAAGGTCTCTAAGTCGTAACGGTACGGAAACTTCGCCGGATGTAAACAATTACACAGAAAAGTTGTGCGAGGAAGAAAACTCCTAGTAAATCGCACAGTAGTGGACCACCATGCATCCAGATGGTACAGATGGTAGCACAAGTTATGACGCGATGTGTGTTCGTGAAATTTGGTAGCTGGAATTAATGCTACAAAATTCCTCAGAGCACTTCTCGTTGTAAATGCGATACAAATTTCAAAGGGATGCAAAATCTCTTCGCAGCGCCAGTGAATCCAGCCGATCAGAGAAAAATCGGTCGTTCACGATTTAAAACGCTCTGTACTGGATGCAGTCAAATGAAAGAAGCTGGCACTAGGGAGCCCCAGCCCAGGGATGAGGACATTATTACACGTGGGGCCAAACCAACGCCTTGTAAAGTTGGAAGCTGTGTGCCGGCATGAATTACTGTCCTGCTCTGCTGAGCATGCTAAGCTTTTTAGAGGTCAATTTGGCTTTCTCCTCCAAGTGACCATGAAACTGCACACCACTATCGACGCCGAGGATTCCGATGCTTAGGACAAAAAGAGCAGTATCTGAAACTGAGAAGATACGACAAAGAAGTTCTTTTTAGCAGTAAACGCGCAAACTTGTATCTTCTGGGAATTGAACTGGAATAGATTTAGTCGCCCCCAATCCGAGACTTTATTCAACGAGAATCGACTTCAGACACAGGTTTCTTCCGATACACGACGAGGTTTTCCCGAGAAATATTGGACTTTCAGCTTTAAAAAGCATCAGCAATGCTATCGCTCGCAAGGCAATGAAGGTTACTAGTTTAGAACACATAATTGACATGCAGAAGAAATAGCGTAGGTGATAAAACGCAGACATGTAAACGAAAGGTAGCCCTAATGATGACATCGGTACATCATACGTGGTAGAATCATGCTGCAGCTATATTTCTGGTATAGTTGTAACACGAATGGGTCGGACCGACCGGGAAAGGACCACGCTCTCACAGAATACCATCGTAAAATAGCAGCTCAATGCTGCTGTGTTTCGTATGGTAAGTGTAGAGAACCGGAGACCCTTTTTACTGGAAACGAGGCATTCCATCTTTGTCCTCACGGGCGACAACACATCTGCATTTTGATTCGTAATCGAGGATAAATGTAGATGTCTATGGGCTACAGCAACTACTTACCGTCAGGTGGACTGTGTGCTCGTTTGTCACCCTTATCCTATAAAAAAATACACCTCAGTTCCTTCCGTGACCATAGGTGCTTTAAAGCACCCGCAATCAAAAATAAGCAAAACTATGAAATCACAACATAATGCTGTAATTTAAAGCTTGTATTATAACAGAAGTTAATTCTTCCCTATTTGAGTCGACCCGTCCAAACTGCAGCTATGTAGAATGCAGCTAATGAACTTGTATCACCGCCGTGACGACAGGGAAGTGATCAACTATCGACTACTTACTCGCATAAGAAACGAACAATAGATATAGATTACGTGTCAATAAAAGAGATACATATATTAATATTTGATCGATGAAGATCGACAAATCCGAAACTTAAACCTTACACTAAATGTGTTTAAAGCAAAGTCGTTAACGATATAAACGCATAGAGCAACACGGACTACCTGCGGGTCTGAGGGGAATAGCCATACGCAGGCGTTCCCCTATGTCAAAGTATAATTCTACGCAGTCATATGCGTACAACAAAAGTAGTTGCAGCCGTACTACCCTCCAGATAAAATCTATTTGCGCAGTTGAATAGACGCTCTACAAAAATGCTAAATTTTACAGTTTTTTTGCTGCAAAAAGATAATGTTACCTTTTTTGCTTTAGTTAAAATACATATTAAAACTTATAAAATTAACGATCATGTTGTTTCAGATTCGTTTACCAACAATATGTGGATCGGCCGAGCGACTGATCCGAGTCTGTATCCAGTTGTCACTGTCATCGAGTGACACTGTTATAAGTTTATTGTTTTAATTGTTATGTGTCAGTTTCGTAGTGACAGATAATTTTTGTGTTTGCAGACTTGCCCCCGTCAGAAATGTCAGACAGTTTGTATCGAAGAAAAACATTATGGCTACCAGGCGTAGGACAGTTGCCTTGAACCACAAAAATTTAATGGATGGTGGCGCCATCCATAACTTGTTTCCAAAAATAATTTGTTTATAGTTGGTCTTATGGCTTCACAGATGTCGCTACTTTGGAAAAACAAAATGAAATTTACTTACAAAATAAAAATAAGTGCACCAAAAAATTATTGGTGATTTTATTGATAAAAAATTATAATTTTAACATAAAAACACGTAATAATTATCGAATCAATCGATAAATATGACAATTATAATTCTGGCAACCAGCATTTTATAATAAATAATAAAAATAAAAAATGAAATAATTGTCATATTAAATTGTCATTCCTGTAACATCGCAAATACCCTTTTTATATATTATTATCTCACAAATACAAGTGTACTTATTGAAACTATTTACCTACTTTTAATATTAAAAGTAGAAATTATTTTACAAAAAAAATAAAAATTGTTTCAGTAAGTATGCGAATTAAAGAACATAATAGTTACATTAATATGATGTACATAATATAGCTATATATAGCGAATTAGTTCGGATTCAATTTGTAGGAGACGCTAGTAGTTCAATTTTGTCTGCAATAAAATATCGTCAGAGGGCTCTCTTTTCCTGTATATACTTATTATACTCTTTGATGGCTACTCCCCTCTGCTCCGCTGGTGGCCCTTTTTGCTCTATGTATAAATGAAATTTAAATTTACTCACTTCTTTCTCTTGTACCGCTATGCTTCCCCCCACAAGATTATATTTACCTAAAACTACATTCAGAATATCCGGAATCACAGCTTCACCTCTAATCGTAGCGCAATGAGCAGCTGAAACATTGTAAAAGCAAATTAAATAGTTGTTACATTCATATAACCTAAAAATTTGTCATATTTTATCTTTTTCTCGGCATACTGCTGGATTAACTAAGAAACGTCAAATGAGTGCACTATTTGACGTATTCTTAGTTGTAATTTAATTAATTCTTTTAAGATTTACCCGCACTCGTCCCGCTAGTCGGCTTGGTGAGTGCAGTTAATAACCATTATCCTATAAAAAAAAAACCGAAACGTTTCTCGTCTTCACTAGTATATGAGTTTTGGGTTTGGCGAATTTGGATGGATTAACCACAATTAGTTGGTTGAAAAATCTTCTTCATCTTTTGCTAAAGTGCACCGAGGCCAGATGATGTTGGCATTTGCAGAAAAACATTATGTATAGCTGTTCCCCAGGAAAGCGTCTGCATGGAAATTATTACTATTGCATTTCATGGATTTTAAATACTTGCGCCTCGTCCTGATTTTTTTAAAATAAAAGTAGCCTAAGTTACACCTTATATAACATCAGCTATCCGCCAGTGAAAGTCCTGCCACAATCGGTCCATACATTTCGGGGATTCAGCTAATCCCGCAATGTATGGACAAACAAACAGACAAGCAGATAGACAGACAGACAAACATACATGACCAAACAGATAGATAGGTAGACAGACAAAAATTTCAAAAAAAAATTTTTTTTAAATAACTTTTAAGTAGATACTTACAAAAATATTTTTTAATACAACAGTATATACCTTTACATAAATAAAAAAAAATCATAAAATAAATAACAGCTTTTAGTTTTAGTTTTAGTTTTATCTTTGTAATGTCACAATAAATGCTGTTATTTATTGTGATATTACAAAGATATACTTCAATTTTATTTATTTGTATAGATTTTAAATACCAAAGAAAAACTAACAAAAAACTCAAGGTTTTTTTTAAATACAAATCGACAGTAATATTGTAAGATTATTTATATGAATTTTTATAGTACTGTGTAACGGTGACGTAACTGAATCCACTACTCCATAGCATTCCGCAACAGGCAACAGAGGGAAATAGAACAATAAACAGTAGAATCTTCTTGATAAAAACTCAAAATAAAAAACAATAGCTGCTAACCCGTCTGTCAAGCGTGGCAACTATGGCAAAAATCCCTCTTATGAGGCAATCTACGAGTACGGAGGAAACTTCAGCAATGGAATTTTGATACGCTGTAATTAATGAAGTAATTATACGACAAGCTACGTTGAGGGTCATATTTTATTTTAAAAATATGATTATTAACAAGTAAAATTACGAATTTTCTTATTTTAAATTTCGCTCCTCATTTTTAGAGCATAATGGTTCTACGGCGGTAACATTTTCATGCGATGGTTTTTACGATTTCAAATATGTAAAACCCAAAATCGAACATCGTTTACAATAAAGGTACCGCTGGTTTAACTAATTTTTGCACAGATAACCAACTTTGAGAGATAAAGAAAGAAGTGGTCACCATTTGACTATTGACTGTTACGAAAGGAAACTTGCTAGCAGTGAAAATTTAAATTTAAGAGAATAGACGAATCACGTATGAAGAAATTTAACACATATAAATTGGATCGGGAAGTGTTTATAAAGAAGAAGTATTTATATAGAAGTAAGAAGTTTAATGGCCGGCAATTCATCTGCAATTCCCCTGGTGTTGCAGATGTTCATGGGCGGCGGTAGTCATTTACCATCAGGTGAGCCACATGATCGCTTGCCCCCTCTCCTATATAAAAGAACGATAGTATTACGTAGGTTGCATAGACTCACCGAGGCCTATTTGATAATATTAATTGGTATACACACATAAAACTTGTGTATACATTCCGGTGGAGAGTTCATGTAAAGTATAAACTATAAAAAAATTTACCATGGAACTTCCTTTAGCTTCGCAAAATATTTTAAGTGGCCCACGGATAAAAACTTAGTAAGGATCACCTCATGAATAGCCTTAATCTCCATCAAAATCACCACTACATGCGCATCCAAATTCGTTGGAAAACCCATCAGTACGAGTACACACTTCTCTCAATTACCTCCTCCAGACCGAATTACGAGTCACTGCAACCAGTCTAAACGGAGACTTGCAATCTGCGCAGGATAGGATTATAGTGCCCAAGTGGACAAGCACAGGTGCACTCTCTATGCCCTCACTCTACTAGTCCAATAGGACGGTAATTCGACACGATCGGAGAGAGATTAGGCGCAGGATCAAAGGTTTTACGTACTTTCCGAGGCACGGACGTGAAACATCGCCAACTTCCTAATACCGGGTAGCTACTGAGAATTTTTTGATAGAAAAACCAAATTACTCGTTAGGGCCTGACCTGGGATTCAAACCCGGGACCTCACTATCAGCAATCGCGTTTACGACCACTAGACCAACGACAGTCAATAACAGATTATGTATCTATATAGTCTCAAAATATATCAAATAGTTTATAGACTGCGTATGTTCAGTGCGTAAGTTTTCGAATAGCTGACTTCGTTCTTTCTCATTTATTATATATATTTAATATTTAATTATCAATAAAATATGAGTCTCCGAGAGATAACTACATATTTGTGCCATTTGCTCTAGAGACTATCGGTCCGTGGCGTCCACGTGTGGTGAAGTTCCTAAAGGAACTCCATTCGCAGCTGGTCGTTGCTGCTGGTGGTAAGAGGGCTGGTTCTTTTCTCGCTCAAAGGATAAGTATAGCCATTCAGCGGGGAAATGCAGCCAGCGTTCTTGGCACGATATTGCGGGGAGTAGTACTATATAATAATTAAGTTTCTAGTTTTAGTTTTTTTATTATTATAGTTTTTAATATTGTATATAGATTATCAACATAATATTATATAATTCATACCAGTTAATACGTAATTTTTAGACAGCAATGTTCCTCCACAGATGTATTTTATATCAGCTCTGTGCAATCTATATATGGCCACGTGCCATGGCCAATCGCCGGCCTTGGTATTTGCTCCTGCCACAATAAGTTCAGTATGCGTTATTTTTCTTCTTCCACAGGAATCGTCTACTGCTGCATCTTCTACTACTGCAGACGTTTCCACTATGGTTTCTTTTCTTTCAATAAAATTATTTAAATAATCCTGTCAGGTAATAAATTTATTATTTTTTATTATTTTCATACTTGTTAGTATTGACTTTAAACGTTACCCGTCATTTGGATTTTCTCCTGTATCGTAGAGGTAGTTTACAAACACAAGGGTAAATATCCAGACTCGGAACAATTATTATTTTTAGGCCATACAAACACTTGTTCCCTACGGCATTTGAATCCGCAGAAAACATTTATACGAGTAAGCAACTGCGCCACAGACCCGTCAATAATAGGATTACATAGGATTCTATTCCTGCCTATGAGTCTATCTTTTAAGGGACGATATCCTTTCCTATTTATGCTGTCAAAAAGAAGTGCTTGGACTACTACGTGTCAGTCTGAAAGACATCTATAGAGAGCCAGTATATCTTGGGCTATGAGATATTTCGTTTATCAAATTGTTATCAGAAATTAAAATTGCAAATGGAAAATGGTTGCGCAGGAATTGGAAGAAATGGTCCTGCATTATTTTACATACGACGACTCCATGGCGCAGTGGCTTAGCAATGAGTTGCTGCGCTGGGGGCCGCGGGTTGGAACTCCGCACGGAACAAGTATTTATATGACCTACAAATAATTGTTCCGGGTCTGGATGTTATTCCTTGTACAATTTGTATTTGTAAACTTCTTCCACGATACAGGAGAAAATTTTAGTGTGGCGGTAACATTTAAAAAGAAAATAGAATTAGGGTGAAAAGCGAGCACACAGCCCACTCCATGGTAATTGGATGTTGTGGCTCATAGGCATCTACACCTTTCCTCGATTAAGTATCTGATGACAAAGATGCATTATTACCAGTGTAAAGGTTCTCCGTTTCTCTAAGATCATCATACAAAACACAACTGTACTTGTTGTGTCGTTTCTCGCGGGAATTTTTTAAGAGCGTGGTCCTGCCCCGGTCACGCTGACCCATTCATGCCGCATAATATAGCTACAGCGTGGCTTTATCACGTCGAATTTTTATCGCTACCCTCCTACGGGCGGTTTCGTATAAGATTTAATTGTATTTATGCAATAATTTTTTAAATAAGTCTAGAATTCTGAATTAAAAATTGAAATAATCAACACTTGAATCTTTATTCTTATAAAATTATGCAGGTATAGCTATAAGCTTAAGGATATAATTTTAGGTTTTAGATGCTATAGCTTAATTTTTTTGGCCACCTGAAGCTAAGCCCAATTTAAACAAAGGGCGTTGTCACTTCTAAGGACTAAAATGGGATGCCTGTAATTATTCACGCGCTCTTTACCGTCTAGATTAGAATACAAAAATGCAAGCACTACTGTTTGATGGAAGAAATAGGTAAAAAGGTGGTTCCTATCCTATCCAGACCAGACAGATAAAAAAGAAGACCATCTTTTTTTTATAGTATAGGGTGACAAACGAGCACACAGTCCACCTGATGGTAACTGGTTGCTGTGGCCCATAGACATCTACATTTATCCTCGTTTGCGAATCAAATCGTTGCCACCCGTGAGGACTAAGATGGAATGCCTCGTTTCCAGTAAAAAGGGTCTCCGGTTCTCTACACTCACCATACGAAACACAGCAGTGTTGAGCTGCTATTTGACGCTGGTATTCTGTGAGAGCGTGGTCCTAATATAGCTGCAGCATGGCTCTACCACGTAAAAAATCATCATCTAGAATAAACCCCGCTGGCAATAAATTTCAATACTTCAAAATCAAGAGCGAATTTCGTGAGAGTATAGCATTTATTAAAATGTATTTAAATGTTACCTTACGAGGTTTGTCGCAATACTCCATTGCGTTAATCTTTAGACTATCGATATATGGAACTGCGCCTGAAATCGGCCCTTTGACAGAAAATTCTAATGAATCAGTTTCATTGAAAATTCTCAAGTTAAACGTATCCGGGCTTATAACATTCACTCTTCCTTTGGATGGATCGATCTGGAAAAAATCATTGCAACTTTATAGAAATGTTCTATTATTATTTTTAATTATCAGAAAGTAATACAAGCAAAGCCGTCCTGTAAGAGCCGTGGTACCTCAGGGGCTAAACGCTTGCTGTACATTTCAGATTACGCAAGCAACCTGGGTTCGATTCCTGACGGCACCAATATAATTGTTAATTGAAATTTTAAGTGCTGATTTCCCACGTGCTCGGTGGTGAAGAAAAACATTGTGAGGAAACTGGTATCTGTGTAAAATTAGAAATAAAAGGATTTCGAAGACATGTGAAGTTCACCAACACGCGAGGTAGTGCCGCGGATATTTCCTTGCCTTAAAACCCTCTTAGAAATGAGAATAGGCATGTGACCAGCAGTGGGACTTAATAGAAGTGAAGTGGTTCTATTTTAATAAGTTACTTACATCAATAAGTTACTTTTTGGTGTGGTAGCTGTGTAAAAGAGTCGTACACGTGACGACACCCGTACGATAGACATGATATTGGAAAATACATGCATATGATAAATATGCGTTATAGCTATGTTGTGTATAGTGGCGATATAATATGATTATCCATTATGCCATATCGTCCCGTGGGTTTTATAAGAGGCGACAGAGGGAAACAAACTAGATGGGCAGCAGCGTCTTTCAAACAAAAATAAAAATAAGAAACTGTGATTGTGGGAATTATGGCAAATATCGCCAATTTAAAGCTGCAGTCTAAAAGGGAGACCTAATAGGTCAGAGAAAAAGTTCCTTTGTTTGTATAAAATTGAAGAAAAATCTCTTAAGTTGTACTGTTTGTATCTGGGTGATTTTAATATCAATACATATAGGACATTAAGAAAAAGAACAATTAAAAATAAAAAATTCTTTCCGCCATTTTTCAATTGATTTTCTATTGAGTGAATCTAACGAAGAATTTCGATTCATTCTGAAATTGTATTACAAATAAGGGAAAATGCGACTCAAGTCGCGAAAAAAAATTGTGACGTTTATGGACCTAATGCAGTGTTAGTAAGAGTAGTCCAAAGTTGGTTCAAACGTTTTGAGCCCGGGAATATTGACGTCAAGATGCAGCTCGGTCTGGTCGCCCCCCTAACACGGATAAAGTGGATTCCATTTTTGAAAAAGTGGAGCAAGATCGGCATATTAGTAGTTATGACATGCCCGAGGAATTGAGACCGACCGATCTCACTGAAAGAAACCTGATGAATTGTGTACTCATTTGCGATTCTATATTGAAACGTAATGAAACCGAACTATTTTTTAAAGATTGATCACTGGTGATAAAAAGTGGATCACCTATGAGTACGACAAGAAAGTGCGAAAACAATCATGGTCAAAGGGCTGTAGCGAAAACCGGATTAACACGCGATAAGGTGATGCTGTCGGAAGGGCATCGTTTATTATGAGTTCTTACCGCCGGGCTAAACCATCGATTCGGATATCTACAGCCAACAACTAATGACACTCAAGCAAGAAATTAAGAAAAAATAATAGTTTAAGAAAACTAAAAACCCACGATTTTGTAGATAACTAAACTAAAAGTAGAAAATAATTTTCAATAAGTTTATAATAAGAAAATAGTGATTAATATAAAAAATATACATATTATTCCAAAAAAAGCGTAGGGTGCTTGATGTAAGGACTGTCAAAACTACTTGTAGTATTTATTTGATCAAAAGTTTTTACAGTAACGGGATTATATTATTATGATTGTGCCTACAAGATGGCAACAAGTTATCGAAGAAAATGTCACATATATAATATAATGAAACTTTCAAAAGAAAATGACTTGAATTTGTATACATATAAAATACGAAGAAACTTTTTCCCTGACCTATTCAGCGGTAAACTCTTTATACGCGGATGTTTATTGCATACATACTATGACGGCTACGTGGCGCAGTGGCTTAGCAATCAGTTGTTGCGCTGGGGGCCGCGGGTTCGAATCCCGCACGGAACAAGTATTTGTATGGCCTACAAATAATTGTTCCGGGTCTGGATGTTTTTCCTTGTGCAATTTATGTTTGTAAACTGACTTCACGACACAGGAGAAAATCCTAGTGTGGGGGTAACGTTTTTTTAAAATAATAATAATAATAATACTACACAAAAACGACCACAAAATATGTATATGAAGAAAAGATATATGCATATTATGCAATAAGCGGTTCTATGGCTGACAGAAATCTCTTGCAAACAACAAATAGATGAACAGGATTGCATGAAGGAAAAAAAATATCAACAATCAACGTTTATAATACCCAGAATTATCATGTACGTAAATTATTACGCATTGTTTGATGCAGTTATATCTTACGGGCTATTCATCTAAATGAAAAAAAATATTGGAAAGAATAATCTCTTTAAAATATGTGGTATAATCTCTGTAGAATTAAAAGTCAAAATGTCGATCTTAATTTAATATTATTGAATACAAACAGGAAAGAGAGTAACACGTATCCAACACGCCTAGCTAAAACACCCAAGCTGTATATTCTAAAGGTTAAAAACTATTATTCAAAACGTGAAAGACGATGGACAACGCCCGTATTTATTAATCAGCTGCCAAAGAATTTAATAAAACTTATAAAAGTAAAAATAACTTATTCTTTAGCATTATTTGTCTTTATGTCCATAGTCGCATACTGGTTAAAAACTTCGTTATTCTTTGTTTAATTTGTTTATATATATATTTTGTACTTTCTAGGAATTTAATATTAAGTCAGTTTCCAATATAAAAGAGACCCACGTATTGCAGGCTCTAGTTGTCAGGTAAACTTTCTGTGTTAAAATTATAGCCTAACGCCCCACTGATATGCACAGGCCTCTTTTCACTTCTGAGAGGGTTTTAGAGCAAGAACGTGCCGCCTCAATGAGTGTTGGCGGACTTCACATTTATTCGAATTCCTTTTTTAATTTCTCAGGCATGTTCGTTTCCTCACGATGTTTTTCTTCGCTGCCGAGCACGTGGTAAATCATCTCTGTGAGCCGTGGTTGCTCAGGGGCTCGCTGTATATTCCACAGTATGCGAGCAACCCGGGTGCGACCCCGCCGGCACCAACGAAATTGTTAATTGCAATTTGAAGAAACTTTCTATAGCAGCACTTATACTCTTAAAATTGCTAAGATATAAACTTAGATACTCTGGAATCAGAAGTTTGCTATATGGACGGCAGCTTACAAATGGTCCTCCGGCGGAGACATCCCTAATTAGTTTCATTTTAATAAGACCAGAAGAAGTATTTATGTTTTTACTTAATGAAATTTGATAGAGATTCCAATTAATACTCTGATTACTTCATTACTTAGTTACTTTGTGGTGACGACATAAGATAAAATAGTAACGAATTTTCTCACGAAAATGTTTTTTTTTATAGAATGAGGGTGACAAACGAGCACACAGTCCACCTGATGGTAAGTAGTTGCTATGGTCCATAGACATTTACATCTATCTTCGTTTGCGAATTAAAATGCAGATGTGTTGTCAGCCGTGAGAACTAAGATAGAATGCCTCTTTTCAGTAAAAATGGGTCTCCGGTTCTCTACAGTCACCATACGAAACACAAGAGTATTAAGCTGCTATTTCACGCTGGTATTCTGTGAGAGCGTGGTCCTTCCCCGGTCGAGCCGACCCATTCGTGTTACAACTATACTATTAATAAATCTGCAGCATGGCTTTACTACGTAAAAGACAGTATAAGGCGACTTTGAATAGTTCAGTAACATATACCCCTATCCCTTATCTCTTAAAGAAGTTGTCAATCTTACGGTTGCCACTACTTCAAATGACTAAAAATAATAAAAAATATGTAAAGTGGTAGGGCCACGTTGCAGCTATATTATGGTTGTAGCACGAATGGGTCGGCTTGATCCGTAAGGGACCACGCTCTCACAGAATACCAGCGTATAATAGCAGCTTAATGCTGCTGTGTTTCGTATCATGAGTGTAGAGAACCGGAGACCCTTTTTACTTAAAACGAGGGATTCCATCTTAATCCTCACGGGTGACAACGCATCTGCATTACAGCATCCACTTACTATCAGGTGGACTGTGTGCTTGTTTGTTACACTATTCTATAAAAAAAATCACATTTTGGAGTCCAGGCTTTAATTTTTCTATATCCCTTTTAGTTGTTTGAATTATTCTTTTAATTTTAATGATAGGTTAATTTGTGACTAAAGGCATATGAACCAATAATATTTGATATCAGCTTACGCATGTGTAATATATTTTGCAGTCATTACCGTATCGTACAGGGAAAATGTAGAGGAGTTATATTTACATAAACTTTTAACGAACTGAACATATAAAACAATTATTCAGATATTAGTCTTGTAAATTACCTCTGATTTTTTCAAATCAATAAAAGTACAAAAAACTACATAGGCATGGAGAGATGTATCATGAGGTTTAGTAGCTTACGGACTGAATCTTAAATTAATGATGTTGAAATAATATTTATTAATATTACCACCTACTGGGTCCAATTGTAAATCTAAGCTATTCTCTAATCAACTAAATCTTAAATATGGATAAAAATGGATTCAGAAAATCAAGATCAACCACCCTAGCTGTATATAAGTTCATACAAATGGCCCTACAAATTTTAAATGATAAAAAACATACTTTTGGTATTTTACTTGATATGACGAAAGCATATGACAGGGTGCCCTATGATAAACTACTTTTAAAACTTATGAATTCGGGTGTCCGTGGGCTAGTACATAACTGTTTCAAGTCCTATTTAAATAGTCAGAAGCAAATAGTAGAAATTGAACACTACAACCAAATTACTAATGAAGTAATAAAAGTTCCTTCTGAAGAGAAACACCTAACTAGTTCAATCCCACAGGGCAGCGTTTTAGGCTGTGTGCTGTTTCTTATTTATGTAAATGACCTGCCAAAATATTTGTATAGAGAATCAACACTGCCAGTATTATTTGAAGATGACTTGTCAGTACATATAAAATGTAACGACAACATTAGCTCTGAAGCCCTTATCTATGATACACTTCATAATGTCACTCATTGGCTTGATAGCTATAATCTAGAAATAAACCTTAAAAAGACAAAAAATTTACAATTTCGTTCATATAATAAACCACCCCTAAAAATTAATTTTCAATTACAAAATACCCTAATAGAAGAGAGACTCGTATAACTTGCTTGGACTTAATGTAGATACACATTTAAACTGGAAGTAGCATATTGAAAAAATTAAATGCAAGATCTCTAAATTTACATATGCGCTTTATCAAATTAATCATAGCACAAATTTAGATACTGCACTGTCCACATATTACGCGTATGACTTTTCATGGCTTAAATATGGCATTATCCTTTAAGGTAATAGTGTTAATGCAGATGAATTGTTCATTTTACAAAAAAAAATGTGTTAGGATACTTGCCAGAATTGATAACAGACATAGCTGTCGACCCTACTTTATTAAATTTAAATTATTAACCTTAGTTTCTATTTACATAAAAGATAAAAGTAACGTCGCATTTAAAAATAAACACTTCTTCACCCAGATAAAAGAAACACACAATGTAAATACTAGGCATAAACATAGGTTATATTTACCCCCATCTAGAACCAAAATGCTCAATTGGAGTCCTTATTATATGGCAATTAAAATATTTAATAAACTACCCAGAAATGTAAAATCTGAAGTTAAATTAAGTTCATTCAAAAAAAAAACTTCATGATTATCTTATTTCCAAATGCTTTTACACGCTCACTGAAGTTTTTGATAGTTGATTACTAAGCAGTAAATTACTAAGTATTAAATAAAACTTTATTTTCAAAATAGCTAAATATAATATAATGATGTTACATAGTTATAAGTCCATTTAATTATTTTATTGTATGTTTCTTGTATATTGCAACGCCCGACAGGGTCTATAATGGTCACTGTAACTGCTAATGTACTGTTCATTATAGAAGCAATAAACGATTTGAAATTGAAATCACACACACGAAATTTCATCAAAATCGATCCAGCCGTTTAGGAGGAGTTCAGTCACATACACACTAACAGAAGAATTAAATAATATATTATTTACATGCGTTATATATATATATATATATATATATATATATATATATACGGAAATGCCAACGGAAGATCCCACTTCTGATGTCTGAGATTACAATAGAGGATTCCAATTTTGATCTCGGAAATACATCAGGATAGCGTTAACTGTTAAAAATAATAAAAGTGTGAGAGCGGATGTTGAACTTGCTCTCTTGCTTACGCAGTGTAATCATTATCAGTAATAAGACAACGTAACGCACTATTTATTCAGTATAGTGAAATTACAGTTCGACAACACCGTAACACGTCTCCGCCACAATCACACACCAGTGTAACGTGAGGTACGACAACACCAAAATATGTAAACCAACAGCAATACTATCTCAATGTAACAGGACAGCATCTCAGCAAAACCAATCCTCCTTTACTGCACTAGAAGAATTACAACGAACAGAACCACGACAATATCTTAGCACTAGTAGAGTGACCGCACTCGTTGAATGACTTGAGCGGAATCCCCCTCGCACGGCACGCACAGTGAACTTTACACAAACAAGCGGGGGTTTCTCGATATACCCTCCATTTCACCTCGATCCAACCGGGTATTTTATAGAAGCTCCGACATATATATATATATATATATATATATATATATATATATATATATATGTTGCGTAATTTAAAAGATCTAAGCGTACAGACGGCAAGAAGCGACTTTGTTATATCCTATGTAGAGATTTTGAGTTCAATATAAACGTACAAATTAAACACAGCATGAGATACATAATCTATAGTATTTAAAAAACAATTGCTGTTCGTTAGTCTCACTAAAACTCAAAAACGGCTCGACTGATTTTGATATTTTAGTAGGTCTGTTGTTGATATCCAAAAATCACCCGTGCGAAGCCGGGGTGGATCGCTAATTTAAAGAAAATATATCTAAAAACAATTTATGAGGTTTAAAAATCCAACACAGAGTTAAATGGTACATTTTTTTAATGTAACAAATAAACGGTGATATTCTTAAATTGATAAATTAATATTCCATCTAGTTATAGCTATTCAACCAGATGACGCAGCCAGTTTTCTTCGCACTGGGTGTGGTGTGTGGAGACGGGTTATACTATACGTACGTACGTAGGTATAATATATTTGAATTTTTGATTTATTAATAATAGTTTTGTAATATATAAAATAATATAATAGCTTAAAAAACTTAAAACAATACGCATAGATCATGAGATGTAATGATCCAGATAATTATTTTATTCTGGTGATCCTGATTAGAACACGTGCAGTTATTAAATACCTAGCTGTACCCCGCGACTTCGCCCGTATGTAATTTAGGGGTTTAATTATGTTGGGCGGAACCTTAATATAAATATAAGTGGCCTAAGTTACTCCTTATGACATCAGCTATCTGCCAGTGAAAGTTCCATCGAAATCAGTCCAACCGTTTCGGAGAAACAGACAGACGGACAGACAGATAGACAGACAGACAAAAATTTTAAAAATGTATTTTTTGTTATAAGTACATACTTTCATATGCATTTGGTAAAAAGCTGTTATTTTGACATTATAAACAGACTCTTCAATTTTATTTATTTGTATAGATTGTAGTGTCATCGGTTCTTGATACGAGTGCAAATTTTCAAGTCTATCAGCCGTCTACAATTTGTTTAGAATCACATAAAAAGTTACCGTTACCTAGATAGATACCTAGATAGATAGATAGATATACACGAGGCTAATAAAAGACGTTAAAATATTATGTATAATTTAATGGTATAATGTCAAACGATCAAAGCAATATATTTTGGTTGTTGCTAAAATTATTCGTTGCAAACTGGATCTTTGAATAAACTAGTTTCTTTTTTACTAAAATACAAATGATTAAAAGTTATAGGCAATAGTCTGGAAAAATTAATACTTACAAATTTTATAATAGCATCGGTGTCCATTTTCAAATCGATTTCCGAAAAAGCTGGTAATTTTTTGTCGATATACACACTGTATACATTTTCCCTTCCTTTTGGTAGTCCAGTTTCATATGAAATAAGAATATCATTGACGTTCCTGCAAGGATGTGCATGTAATAACGGATTACCTACGAAGGACCAACTGCCTTGACCGAAAACATCTCTTGTGACAAACACAAACAAAATAAACATGAGTTTCATTTTGATATTCCGTTAATGTCCACTTTAAAAATAAATTCACTTCAATTTCAATACACTACATTACAAGAAAAAAAGTTTATATACTATATAAAGAATAAAGAATAACCTAATCGTGAGAAGGTTAAACAATTAATGATTCTAGTTTTACTCTGAGAACAACTTCTTTGTGACCATGTTGCAGTTAATTATGATTTTCGCAATAATAGAAAAGTACCGCGACATGACCGCCTAAGAGGCGACTATGGGATATGCCAGAAAGATCTTATGGCATCCGCTCGATGGCAGTATAACCATCTTCTCTAATGGTGGTAAGCACGACAGCTGATCATATAGTCCTGAGTGCGAATCCCGGATCGAGACAAAATCAGTTATCAAATAAATACTCGCCGGAGTTGAGAGATTGGCGGTGATTCCTGTCTCGAAAAGCACGTCAAACCTTTCGTCCTGCTCCTGATCTGGGATTGTCGTCCCATAAGACGATGAAAGTGAGCAAATATACAGTGCACCTATGCTTGCAAACACGTGTGCACGTAATTGTATTGCACTACCGGATGCAAAAAAAAAGTCAAGGAAATGGATAAAACTTTGTTCGGTTATATTAAATGCTACATTAAATATACTAAATCAGTGTAAGCAATCGAATAAAAATAATAAAATGTCATTTTCTAAAATGACCTTTACTTATTTTTTGCGACTTACCGCGACATAACATAACGAAGATCAGGAAAAACCAGTTGTTGTGAATTCCAAAGCGTTGGAAATACACGTACTGACAAAATACAGCTCAATGCAAAATATTTAAAAATCATTTCGCAATGTACATTGTACATATTACTATACTATATTTGAGACAATAAGCATTATTTTATTTATTTATTTCGACCAGCAAGGATCATAGGGTAATATTACATTCATTCAAGTTAATTCTAATACTAAAATTATTACTCATTACTAAAATTAATATATCAAATGCATAAGTATTCATAATAATTTAGAAAATATAATAATTATTTAATATTAACAAAATAATGTAAATCAATGTTATTAAGTAACAACAGAAAATGTTGATATGACGAGCTAAAAACATGCTCAGATAGCTTTAGTTAGGGTTAAGTTTGAAATGTTTATGTGTGATAGACTTCATAATTAGGATATCCACAGTCGAACCAGCGTAGACATAGCCCAACGGGTTAGCAAGTTGAAGTAGCAATGGGCCGGCCATATAGCTTGAATAACTGACAACCAATGGGAAGTAATGCTCTCGAGTGGCTTTTTCGGGCGGCGCCGCACTATACGGGGCGATGACCTGGTAAAGAGCTTCACACATCATCCATATTGTTTTACTACCCGCCAAGGGCATTCACAATGCATGAATCTATATTTTATGTTACACATAATAATTGCTGCCGCTTTGTATTGAATATTAAGAAACTCGGTACATAAATAATATTATAACAACATTTTTATGTTGGAACAAAAAGTAAAAGGTAACGAATATTGTTTAAAATCATTGTAATTCTTATTTCTTATCATTTTTTCTATTAATTAAAAATCTATTCTAATTAATTAGTTAATTATCGATAAGAAAGGACAATGAGTAGGTTTCATGTGTGTCAATAATTAGTATTAATTGTTTGAAGTTGCGGGTTGTCAATACCTACATCTAGTGCGGCAGTGGCAGCAGTGGAGTTGCGGATGCGTTTTTTTATAGGAGAGGGGGCAAACGAGCATACGGCTTACCTGATGGTAAGTGACTATACCGCCGCCTATGAACAACTGTAACACCTTTCAAAAAGGAGTAAGCTCTTTTCTTGAAGGTTCCTAAGTCGTATACTTAGTTCCTGAAAAATCGCCGGTGGTAAGCTATTCCACAGAGAGGTTTTAATGTGTTTCTCAAACGAAACTCCAAGGGTATCTTGTTGTAATTTATTCAGCCAATAATGCAATAATTATGATTCAAATAATTGAAATAATAATAAAAATAAATAAAAATGTAAAAAATAGAACCATAGACAAAAGTAAAGTTACAGTCTTTATACGTCCCACTGCTGGGCATATGCTTCTTCTGATTTCTGAGTGAGCTTTAAGACAAGGAAGTACTACAAGTCCGTAGTAGTACTTAGAAGGCAGATTTTTCATAGTTCCAGTTTTGGAATGTTTTCACGTCATGACAATTTCATCAAGTTATTATACACGGGTTTCGTGTCAGTATCAGTCCGAGCTGAGTCTTTCCGGTTGTATTGCTCATTAAATTGGGCAACCTATTCTTCAAATTCCTTGCAGTACTGATATCCTCTTAAATATATGCTTATTTAACACAACCAAGCTTACCACACTTCAAAAGTTTAGTTACAAGAATTATCTTAAATAGGGATTAATTCGTTTAACGTTTATGGTTTAAATTCGATCGTACAGATATGAATGCGATCAAATTGTTTACATTTAATTAGTTAATGTTTAGTATTGAAAAAATCACTTCTATATTATTTTTACATTTTTCGCTTACCTCAATGACACAGCACTTTTTGAAGGGTATAAATTCATTACCCTTTTTTTGTAATACATACTAAAATAGCATAAATTAAAAATTAAAAAGTCCCTAGAAACAAAAAGAGCTTATGATCTAATAACGGCTGAACAGATTTTCTTAAAACGAAGCTACTGTCGATTAAAACACCTCTCAACCAAAAAAAAAAACTGAATCAAAATCGCCTCTTCCGTTCATACACAATACAAGGTTAAAACAACCCCATGTTTTCGTTGGGGCTTAAGACGTTATTACAGAACATGTTAAATGTATTCCTGGAACCATTTACAATATTTTATTTTTATATTTTTTTTACAAAACTAAAGTGGCAAACGAGCTTACAGGCCACCTGACGGTAAGAGGCTACTGCAGACTATGGATTCCTGGAGTTCACTTCAAACAAACAAAGCTACATTATGTTCTGCCTCTTCTGGGGACTAAGATGGAATGCCTTACATCCTGTAATGGTTGTATTAGTAATATTGTAAATATTTATTAATATTATCACAAGAAGATCATCAACTTTCACTGCAGATTGTGGTTTTTTGGAACAAAGTTCTTTATCGCACGGTACGGGTTTGGCAGATGGGAGCTAGGCGACAAAAAGTGTAAGATTTTTTCGTCACTACCCCTTGTATCATAGTGACGACCTTGGCGGCGAAATAAGGAAGTGAGATGGAATAATATCCATCTCCCTCGCACTTTTTCTTATCTTGCCATGAAAGAAATATTATTTTATTTCAAATGACGATTCATTTTAATAGACGCTAGTAATTCATTTATTTGTATTTGTTAATCAATAATATAATACCTACGTTTATCTATAATAATATTAAGTGCCGATTTGACCATGTGCTCGGCGGTGAAGGAAAACATCGTAAGGAAACTTGCATGTCTGAGAAATAAAATAAAATATTTCGAAGGCATGTGAAGTTCGCCAACACGCATTGGGGCAGCGCGGTGGACATTTCCTTGCCCTAAAAACCCTCTTAGAAATGAGAGGAGGCCTGTGCCCAGCAGTGAGACGTAAACAAGCTGCAACATTACTTTTTACTTTTAGAAACAATACTTACTTAGATTCTCTACACGCACGAAACACAGCACAATTACAATTTAAAACACAGCAGCATTAAATTTTTACGCTGGTATTCTGTGAGAGCGTGGTCATACCCCGGTCGAGCCGACCCATTCGTGCTAGAACCATAATATAGCTGCAGCGTGGGTCTATTACGTTAATAATTATTCGTGATTATGATATTTATCGTCATCTATTATCTACTTCTAACGCCATCAGCAGTGCGTTTATTGCTGTGTTGCGATCGGAGTGGTATAAAGAGTCAGCATAATTATACGCTGTGAGACATTCTATGGGTGAGTAACAGGATCCAGTGCTAGCGCCGACGACTGCCACCCACTGCTTATACGCAGTCAGTAGTCGTGATAACTTCTTTAGGGTACACGCAGGTTATTGAAGTCAGTGGGAAAAATTAATTCACGGAAACCGCAGAATTTGCAACGATTGAAATATTTATTGAGAAAATGTTCCCATCTGCTGTTGAAAGAGTTGATGAAAATTTAAAAAGAAACGACTTTTGATAACAAAATTAATAGATAATAGAAAAGAATACGGTTCTACTATGTTATTGACGTGACGTCACACCACAATGCAGCGCCAGCGACTGACCAATTACTGACATGGTCGTTTAGACAAGGTTAATACAAGGTTAATAGCGGGGGGAGTCGACTGACTTCAAAATATTAGGAATATTGAAGTAAGCACTGGAGCAAAAGTGCTGTACTGACTCCAAATCAATTTATGTTATGCCAGTAGCGGGTCAGCACTGACTTGCGTCGAATTTGGAGCCAGTGTAAATTAGGCATTTGAGGTGTCAACGCATCAACGTTCTTCGTTTGAAGTTGGTTGCAGATATTTGTGGGCTCCAATCACTTGAGTAACATAAAAAAAGGGTTTATCTAAACGCTCCTCTTATGTAATGTAATATAAAGATAAAGCTTGGCTGTGTAATGTCGGTGTAAGAATACCTACTACACTATAATCTTGTGGGTGTCGTAAGAGGCGACTGAGAGAAACAAACCGAGAGCAATAATGTTCCTGTTTCGTATGGTGTGTGTAGAGAATCAAAGACCCTAACCCTACCCTGGTAACAAGATACTCTACCACAGTGCTCAGTGGTGACAATGCATCCATATTTTGATTTGTAATCGAAGATAGATGTAGGTGTCTATGAGCTACAGCATATACATACCATCAGGTGGACTTGTTTTTTTTTTATAGTATAAGGGTGACAAACGAGCACACAGTCCACCTGATGGTAAGTGATTGCTGTGGCTCATAGACATCTACATCTATCCTCTGTTACAAATCAAAATGTAGATGCGTTGTCACCCGTGAGGGCTAAGATGGAATGCCTCATTTCCAGTAAAAAGGGCCTCCGGCCACCTGCACTCACCA